CTTCAAGCAAATAGTGACCAAATATAAAAAGAACCCCCACAATATATGTTATTTCTCTTCAAGGACAATTGTCATTTCTACCAGGCCCTCCGAAAAACATGTAATTACCCCAAGTTTCACTGTGCGATACAGTTCCTGCCCAATAACACTTCGGGTTCTCAGGAGGGTATAATTCGAGTTCTGTTGCGGGGGCTATTTCGTAATTTTCATCAAGCACTTCTATGTTTCGTATATAAGCTGCTTTCCCATAGCCTTCGTTTGGAAAATGGCCACTCCCCATTTGTGTTGTTGTGTGGGCCCTCGAACTTCTGCTATCTACAATTTCACCCCCAAAATCCACGGTGGTTGCATGATCTTTGAGTTCATTTGTAAATATTTCTTTTGGCCAATAACCAACTTCATCCTCATTATATTTTAGCCACCAATGCCCATCTTTAGGACTCTGAAAAGAAATTAAAATAATAATAATAACAATACTAATAATAATGATATAAAAAGGCAAAATTGCATTTTTAATTCTGCTAGTTTAACACTATATCAATTTCAGTCCAAAGATTCTAACATTTTGCCTTTTGGTCCTGTAATTTAAGATTTTGCTGCAATTTCAGTCATTTGAGAACTGAAATTGCAACAAATTCACTTGGATGGATTTTTTAGTATTTTAATCATGTAACATGAAATTTTGTTGCAATTTAAGTCATTGAGGACTGGAATTGCAGTAAATATAAAATCAAAAGACCCAATGGCGAAAAGTTAGAATCTTGAAATTAAAATTGCTATGGCGTTAAACCAACAAAATTAAAAATGCATTTTTGGCTAGAAAGAAATTGCATAAGTGCTATTTTTGTAACTATATAAAAAGGTTCTATATGAACTGGAATTGCAACAAATTCCAAATTTATATCTTCGGGGTGAATTTTTTATTAGCTACTTAAGTTATGTAATTTTAAGTCTTATCGCAATTTCAGTCCTATTTTTTAAATTTTGTTGCAATTTCAGTTCTCAAATGACTGAAATTACAGTAAAATATTAAATCACATGAAGGTGAAAAGTCAGAATCTTGAGACTAAAATTGCTATGGCGTTAAACCAACAAGACTAAAAATGCATTTTTCTTTAGAAAAAAATTGAATAAGTGTTACTCTTGTAACTATATAAAAAGAATCTATATGAACCTGTAGTTATTAGCTATATTTGTTTGTCAATAAATTTCTTGAATCATTTATAGTATGTTAAATTATATATTTACATTGTTGTAATTTTATTTAGATTTTTTTTTTCTACTTAAAATATGATGTAATATAGATTCAGAGTTTTTATATATACTTACCTTTTCAATAGATAAAGTAATATTATATTGTGGGCCATTATAAGTTGAATAATGCCGAATTGCAGCTCCAGGTACGATGTTTTGGCTGGTTTGAACAAAGCCTGAGCACTCCAAATTATAACAACCTGTCCCCTGATAAGCATCAGCCTACAAAAATACATATACTTAATTAATTAATTAAATTAATAAGTCCATTCAACTAGCTAGGATTATTTTCCGGCAAAGTGCAGTAAAAAAAAAAAAAAAAAGGAAATATTTATACTTACAGTCCAATAGATGAAGAATTTAGGATACTTGTCACCATAAAGAACCTGTTGAAAATTATCTAGATGAGTTAGATTATAGTGCAAACTTGAAACCTTTTTTTTTTTTTTTGAAGATTAATTTTGTGGTAATATCAGACCATGCAGTGACAGATTTAGGAATTTCACTCGGGGGGTTAATGGTAAATAACGAGCTTGTGGCTTAAGTCGAAACGCTCATTTCATATAAAAATGTATTTGCTATAAATATAAGTACCATCAAGTTTTAAAAAACATTAAATTCGTATCACCCTCAAACTTCTAAAAAAATATTAAAAAAAATGTGATTTCATTAATTTGTTTTAGCATCTATAATTTATGAAAAAATAAGTTTCTTATGTTGAAAATTTGATTTAAATTGAAAATTTGCAGCACATTGCATAAAGGTTTTGTTGATGAGAGCTTATGATCAAATGAATAATTATTGATAAAAAAATATGTGATTACACAAATAAAAAGTTAAAAATCATTCAAAACTTAACAATCCAACTAAATACTCGGTTTTATAAATCACAAAATCAATTTACAATTAAGAGACCAAAAAAGTAAATCATTATAAATATTTTAAAAACTTATTTAGAAATTTAAAATATAATAATTGCTCGTACATTTTCTATTAAATAAATAATATTACTACTTCAAATTAGAATAGTATAGGAATAGGTTTTCATTATTAACATATTGTCAATATTTTTTACATTTCTATACACATTTAATAGAATTATATATATATATATATACTTTCTTTAAAACAAAAAATCAGGGGGTTCATAGGCCCCCTGGGCCTCGTCTAGCTCCGCCCCTGAGACCATGTACCTTTTACAAAGATAAAAACTTGTTGCTTTTTGTAGAAGTATGTAATAATAGTCAGTTTGTCATTTAAATAATTCAATTATCCTTACTATCAAAAATTGTTTTCTGACCTGCCAACCAGCTTCCATGGAGTTTAGGTCACTGTCCAAACTTCCTGACAAAACCCATATTTGTGCTAAGCTGAATTCACCAGACTCTGCAACGTGTGGATACCACACATTTATGGTTGCTTTTGCTCCAAGAAATGTCCCGTTTGCAGAGACAACCGCATGCTGAGAAGATTAACGTAGACTTAATGATTGACATTATGCTTACGTGACAAAACATCAACTTTAAAATCAACAATTTCTACACTTACACTTACATCAATCATTATGTTAAAGTAACTTCATGGCAGAAATTACATTTTTAGTCCTGTTGGTTTAAAGTCATAGCAATTTTAATCCTAATGTTCCAACATTTCGCTTCTCGCCATGTGAGTTAATATTTTGCTGCAATTTCTGACTGAAATTGCAACAAGCTCCCAAATTCACAGAGTTTCAATTATCAAGTTAAATCCTGTAATATCAAATTTTGTTGCAATTTCAGTCATCAAATAACTAAAATTGCAAAAAAAAATAAATCACATGACCGAAGGCGAAAAGTTGAAACCTTGAGACAAAAAATGCTATAGCGTTAAACCAACAAGACTAAAAATGTATTTTTGTCTAACTTTATTCAAACCTAAATATCAAAACTGAACCGCAAATTTTATTACAGTAACTAATCCATACTCTGTTCGGTATTGGTTAATGCCGGTTCATGGTTCGATATTAACCGGTATTGGTTAATGCCAGTTCATGGTTCGATAATAATTGATCTGAACCGATTTTTTTTTAAGTTAAGAATCAAGTTTTTTTTTCCTCAATGAGTATGTTTTCTCCAATTTTCTTCCACAAAACGCATCTCCTCTTCCGGTTTTTCTACACGGATATATGCATGTTCCTTCAAGTAATTTCTTGATCTATGTATTTGCATATTTCAATTTATTGATCTATGTATTTACATATTTTAATTTGGTTGAATTCTAGGGTTCGAAATTTGATTGTTTCACTTGTGACCCTGCTCCGTATATGGGCTTGGACTTCTTATGAAAGACTCACAAGTGAATATTCTAATAATGCTATTTCTCCCTTCTTTTGCTATTTTTTTCTCCAACTATTTCTTTCATAATTTTGCAACTGAACTTTTTTTTTCGAAGTTTTGAATTTTCAGTATTACCAAAATTTACCGATACCGAATTGATTTTTAGTTACCGACCATTTCGTTGCAGCATCGGTTTGAGCATTTAGTAATACCAAAATACCATAGTACTATAACTCTCTCTATATATTTGTTTCGATTTCATTTTATTTTATTTTTATTATAATCTCATTATTAGTTAGATTAAATTTTATAAGTCAATCCCACCTCTTTTATCATTTTTTTATATTTTCAATCAGTACGAAAAATTCACGATTTGATTCACACTCTTCGTGAGATCGACTCATACTTGTTGCTATTACTAGTTAGTTGGAGGTTTATCGAGAAAAAATATAACTTCTAAAATGTGTTTCATCTAGTGTTCGACGTTGCAAACATTGCTCGAATGCATTACTATTTAGTAAGCATTGAAAAACATACAAAATGGAATATATATCTATGGATATCTCATCTTTCGTGAGAAAACTTTATTTGTACTTATAATCTTTACGGATAGCGACCACTTTGGCGGATCAAATATAAAATTATCTTAAACATTTAGCGCGTACCTCATGGACTGCATCGTCGTCATCTGCATTGTTTCTAACTATTTTGCGTCCATACGTTTCTACAGATTTTGCTTTTAGAATATCTCGTGTGGTTGTTCTTCTGATTGGAACTGTGTTGTCCGGGCAACGTTCACCTGACATTGTCCAAACTTGGAAATTTTCGACAAAAGTGTTGTTGCTCGATTGTGCTTTGGGTAGTTTCTGTATTAATCGAAACAATATACATAGATACAAGTGTTAATAGACTATTCTATCTGAAATATAGTAACGGAATAGCAACGAACAACAAACTCTAGTGATCAAATGGTTACCGTGATTGTTTTCAGTCCTTTTAACAAAGGATGATCGAAAGCTGGCTGTAAATGGAACGGTACGCAGTCTATGATATCGCCATCAGGACTCTGTTGCCAAAAATGAATAAAGATGGTGAGATAAAATTTATAACATATCGAAACTAATAAGAAATTTACCTGAATAGTTTTTACAGCAGGCTTGTTGATTTTATTCAAAAGGGCCTTGATATTCTTCGTCGTCATTTTCGACTGATCATTTTCGAGCCGATATTTTCGAAAGGTGTTATTAGAATACGTTGATTGCACATTACCAATAAAAGAGATTAAAACTAGAAAAAGGACAAAAATAGTAGTAATTCGGGACATAATGTGGCTACCATAATCCATTTTTTGGGAATTTGCAGTTTCTTAATTAATTTGGGTTTTTGTTTTTTTTTTTTAACATAATAAACATATGCATTTTATACACTCCCACATCGTTTTAAGACTCGATCGGGTCAACGACATAATCCGAAACAAGTCAGGTGAAATGTGATCCGGCGTTGACTTAATTTTTGAAATAATTTTTCAGAAATTTTTTTAGCATTAATTTATTATTTATGTACCTATAACAAGATGAAAAATGATATTATTAATTTATATAAACTATAATATTTGCACAAAAAAACTATTTTATCTCTAGTGATGTTATGTTTATTTAAAGAAAAAAATAGCAAATATAGTTTTTATTAAAATTTAAAATTAAGTATCCTTATTCACCATTTAAATTTTGAAGCGATTCATTTGACTGTCAATTGCAGAACAATCGGCTTTTGACCTTTTTTTGCGGTCCACGTCATGTTGTTGACTAATTAATAGCATACGTCAAATTTTCATGTTAAAAGTCGAAATTATTGCACGGGTTTGAATGCAGGGTCGCAAAACAATTGTTAGATTAGAAAATTATTTATAATATATATTTAAAATATTTGTAATGCACATTATTATATATTATAATAAAAATTGATGTAATTTTATCATAATTAAAAATAAATTTAAAATAATATTCACTATATTTTTTTTTAATCGATTTATAGTATGTGTCACAATTGAACTTTCTTTTTTTTTTTTTTTTTTTTTTTT